TAAAGAAGATAATATATAGGAACTAGTTAAGTATCTAATAAACTATTAATATTTAATTTAATAGTTCTATTAGAAAGTAAGATAGAAAAAGGATTTTAGAATAAAATTAAGTTAATCTATATAGTATTCTAGTTAATAATCCCTATAGTACTCTATAATTAAGTCTTAGCTATAGTTTTAAACTCTAAATACTCTAACTCTTCTAGTTTATTTATTAACCTTTTATCTTTATATAATATTTCTAAACCTTACTTATAAATTTACTATTTCTACTAATAAAGATATATTAGTTTATTAAGAGTCTCTATTATTTTAGCTTAGACTTTTAAAAAATACTCTTTAGTAATATCCTTCTTATACTTAAAGTAATAGTATTTATTTATAATATAATAAGCTTAGAAGTAGATTAGTATAGTATAATCTAAATAAAAATATATAATTTTCTTACTAAATAATATTATAATATTAGAATAGTTATATAAATAACTATAATAAGTATATTTAAAATAGTATTTATTATTATTAGATATTATATAATATTAATATTTATTTTTTAAATAATAAGAATAAGATATAATATCTATATTAAATTCTTTTATTAATAAAGCTTTTACTTTATAGTAATTAGAAGATTTTCTTTTAGTTATAATAGTTAATAGATAGGATCTATATAGAAAGAAAGAAAAGGAATTTATTTAAGCTATAGAATATAATTTTAAGAATAAAACTAATAAAGAGGGAGTATTATATTATACCCTAGTTATAAGCTAGCTCTAGGCTAAATTAGGTATAGATTATATAATATACTTAAATATTAAAATAAGATAATTAGTACTAAGTAGAAGATACTTAGCTCTAAGTATTTAAAGAAATTACTAAATACTCTATTATATATATATATAATTATTTCTAAATAGATTACTAGTTTAATAGCTATTAATAAATAAATATTAGTTTATATATACTACTATAAGTTAACTTATTATTTAATTTATTAACTAACTTCTAAGTAATAAAGCTATTATCTCTTTCTCCTTAGAATAACTATTACTAAATAAAGATATTTTATTACTTTTAAGCTACCCTGTAGCTCTTAAGTATACTGTTTATTACAGGCCTGCTAGTATCCTAGGTATTAGTTCTATCTCTAGAGGCTCTCTAAATCTCTTTATTAAAAACAGAGTTATAATAACTATTAGAGGCTGTAATAGTAGTAAAGGGATTATAAATAGTATTATTCTAAAGAACTATTTACTAAGAGTAGAGATTTATTAATATCTGGGTTTAGCTTTAGGTTTATACTACTAGTAAGGAGTTAGAGAGGGTATTATTTAACTTAATTAAGAAAGTATTAATAGCTTTAATAACTTTAGGGGTCTACTTTAGCTTATTAAGTAAAAACTTAATAGTAAGGAGAGTAGTAATCTTAATAGTACTCTTTACTATAGTATATATAAGGAATATATCTATAGTAGAGGATAGAAAGGAGTTTTTAGGATAGATAACCCCTGCTTTATTAGTCTTAGGGTTTATAGCCTACTTAAGGTAGTACTTAATCCTAAGGTTTAAGATAGATCCCAGATTAGGGTTTTTAAAGGAGTCTAGAAGGTCCGAGGTATTCATATTACTTATATCTATAGTATTTATACCTATAGTAGTAGGGGCAGGGATCTAGGCCTGAGTATAGCTAGTAGCTATATTAATATTAAGATCTGGTTCTATACTGATTATAGATTTAGCTTTAGAATCAGATTATTCTATATTAGACCCTTATAAACTAGGATTAGAGCTAGAGCTTAGGGTATAGTTACTATTAGGTAAATAGTTATCTAAGCAGGCTTAGGAAAAGGGGGTACTCTATCTAGTACTAGGGGTAAAGAAGATTAGAATAGTATCCTATATAGTATAGTATTTCTTACTAGAAGACTCAGATTAAGTACTAATAGGTAAAGATTTAATAGCTAGTATTAAAGCAATAGATATTATTATAACTACTAGAGGCTTACAGCTGTAATAAGGTTTAGGTATAGATAGCTCTTCAGCTTAGAGTAGAAGGTTCGAAGGAGGGGGATCAGGTACTATAATAGTAGGAAAAAGGGGGCTAAGCAGCTGGGTATAGGAAATTAGACTCTGTTAGTATAATATATATAATCTTACGGTTAGATACTAATAGTACTAACCAGGAAAGTAAGATAACAGGAGGAAGTGTCCTATTTGTGGTTAATGAACATATCAACGGCTATAGAGATAGAATCCTGGTTTAATTCTAGGGACACTTTGACTTTATCGGCGAACTCAAACTGTTCTTCAATGGTGGGCCAATTTCGACTTGACACCACCTATTTAGCGTTATGAATAGAGTCTGAAAGCTGGATGATGAGGTTGATTAGGTCTGACCTCGTATTATCAGAGGACTCGTCCAAGGCATCTATGATAAAAATGCTGTCTCTGCAGTTGGAATCATGCAGCATATCTATCAGGATCTCTTCGAGGGCCGGGAAAGCTGTAGTCTCATCCTCGAATAGATCTTTGCCTTCGCTATCGTATCGCTCTCGAATATAGGACACTAGATGTGGTTGGTCCGTACAAAGAAGCCATATAAGACTGCGGAGTACCGCTGTCGCATTCCTCTTCTGGTCACTTTGGGTTGCTTCACAGAAGAAAAACGAGATGCTTTCTCGATCCTCACTCAGCAACTCATCAATAATACCACAAAGAAGCATTGTTTTCCCTTTTCCAGGATCTCCCTTTATCCAGAGTAGTCGGTTATCAGGATTGTTTCTAAAACGCAGATAATCCTCATGGTGGAGGACCCAACGATAGGCGTCCTTCAATAGGCCTCCCTTGGCTTTCTGAACCGCCTTCTTATGATGCGATGGGTTAATCACCCGTAGATCAGTGAGACACTTTTTATCAGCTTCAGATTGAGACGTGTTCTGAGCCTTTTCAATTGCTTTTGTTTGCTTTTCCATGGCAGCCTCCACGGCGCCAATTCTTGCATCCCAGTTAGTTAATCTGGTGATGATACTCGACCAGATGCTCTCTGGAGAGTCACACGCCTCCGGTAGCGCTGAAAGGATACCCGTAAAGAGCTCTGTTGAGACTGTCTTCCCATTGGACTTTGAAGATAGATTGGGTATTTGACGGCGTACCATGTCGGGAATCATTCCGACTAGAGGACCCATGCCATCCGTCAGCTGGTCCTCATCTTTGTCGCCTTCGCCTTGTGTATCAGGGCCAGACACAGCATTTCTCATTGCATTGCGAAGCTCTTGCTGATCTGCTTGCTTGTCATGGTCGTCTAGTTTATCTTGCATGTATAATAAGCAGATGGAGTAGCAAAGTGATAACCCATGAGAGAGGTCAATGACCATCTCGTCCTGACGGGACATCTTGCCAGATTTCTGCTTATATAACAACGGGTGAGCCAACTTGTTGTATAGGCTTTCTGGCAGACTTGTAAGTTGGATTTCGAACACTACATGACGGTAGACCTGGAGGATACCCGTGGCTCTGGTGTCTAACGTAACGTGATGGTTGCAGCTTTCGTAGGCTCCAAACCAAGCATCCCATGATTGGCCGACAGGCCGGTCTCGAGTGAAAACGTTTGGCTTATTTTCCTGGTGGAAGCATTCTAGGACGAGCTGGTTGGCGCGTTCCAGCTGGGATGGATAGTCGACGATGATCCGGAGGCCGGCAAGGTCGTGCATGTCGCGGAACATATCCTCCACACGCTCATATACTCCTAAGCCCTTACTCATACGATGCTGCTCTCGGCGGTGGAGTGTTTTATTGATTGAGCTGGAGGCTTTGACCCTCCCATCGACCTTGGCACTAATGCCTCGCTGTTGAATTTCATGCTCACAATAAATGATCAAGTTTCCTACCATCAACCTATAATCTTGCTCCAGCTCTGGCCAAATGGTATCGAGGAAGGTGGACTTGATAGTCGCATCGCTTTTGCCTTCGGATTTTGATAGTAGCTTTTCAATTTTCGAGTAAAGCCCCCTCTCAATGACGCTGTCGTTCCTTGGTCGTATCATTAGTTGAGCCATCACATGTCGCGAACGGCAAGTTCTGGGCTTGAGTTGGCCAGATGAGAATACTCGTGGAATTGGATTTGAGCTGAACAGAATGATGAGATCTCCGGTATGCTACGCGCAACCGATGAGCACGAAGCCTGCTTTGGCGATGGTTAGATGCGGGAGATAACTTAGGAACGAGGGGCAGAAACACTTGGTGTGGTTGATGACTGTCCTGAAAAGGGGGCCAACATGAATGGAACATTGAACGCAGATCTTACTGCATCCCGCCACGTCACCTTGCAGTTTGTCAGAGTTGCCCTCTGCCTGCGCCGTGACATCAGTTGCGACCCAAGAGGCGAACCATTGCCTCATTCTCACAATCCGGTACGGCACCCACCCCCTTTAAACCCCCCTCGCCGACCACAAAAGCCTTGATAATAGACTATCATTGATTCAATAAGTCGCAACATATCTTACAGAAGTATACCAGCCACGGATTAGTCCTAAACTGAGCGAGCTATGGTCACGGCGTCATGGTACGTGACCCAGCTCATGCATCCACATTAATATCATCTTAGCAATGCCCTCCACCAGTATCTCTGGTGCGTCATGAACTTGTTGGTACAGTTTCGTCCCTGATGACCCTTGTATGAGATGGTTAGCACCCAACCAATTGGCGATAACTTCGTTGGTACAAACTTTACCTAACAATTCTAATTTGTATCTACTAAACTAAGATGAGATCCTCGAAAACAGACATCAAGACTGATGTTGGTTTTGGCTGTTGGCCGAAAGCTCAACGCGTCCTACGTCTAGCTCGGACGGCTGTCTAAATCCAGGTCTTGAGTGCGATTCTGACTCATGGGAGATAATATGATTCGCCTGTGATGAGTTGTTTGAAATCCCAGCACTATATACAGTGGGAGGATATATGTGTTGAGGCGTTTGAGGCGGCATCGACTCGGCGGCTGGCTTTCTGTGTATCTTCCAGAACAAATATGCAACAGCAGCAATTAACAGCGCCAACACCGCGGCACCAACGCCAATTCCAGCTTTTGCTCCCATAGGGAGCCCCCCTGTATGTTCACTATCGCCCACTGTGTTATTGGTGTTCGTCGGTGCAAGGGATGTTGTTGTTGCGGTGCTTGATGCACCAACGGAGACAAATTTCGTCTGGCTGTCGTCCCACACAGCGTAAATCGTTGGGCTCGCTGGGAGAAGATCGAAAACCCGATTACTGTCGCAACAACCAGGGTCGAAATCACAGCAGTACGAGTTCTCTTTCTTTGTGGAATTGGTGCAGGATATTAGGCTGATGCCTTGACTTCTCGTCTCTGCTTGGCGAATCAGCATGAAAAGTTTTGTTATTTTATACCATTACCCTCCGCTTGGGGTAAACACCCGATATTCAACCTACCAAGACAGTAGTCGGCGCATTTGGGATCGTTCTTTTTGGTGCATGATCCCCTGCTTCGATCTCCGGTCCCAATTTCACACAATTTGTTTGCCAGGCAACTGGTCCCCGGTCGCCCCCCGCAGCATATGCTCACGTCTGCATTTGGATCGCATGGATAGTCGTACTTACTATCCGTTCCATCGGGGTAAACACAGGTGGCGGCGGTAGAGCATTGCTGAACCAAGAGGAAGAACGATAGCAGGAAAGGGAGCATGGCCTTCATGCTTATTGCCTGGATGGAGCAGGAGATATTAGAGATAGACGAGAAATGAGGAATTGTGAATCACCAGCGAACAAGAGTGACCGGTCATGCGTGGGCAGGATTGTGAACTTAAATGTCGATACTGATCAGGTTACATAGTAATGTGGTGTATACTCGTAATCGCTTAGGCATTAGCTACGACATGGGGGCGGGGGGGCAACAATCCATCTACTCTTCCTAGATCAGCCAAACATTTACTGAATCTAGAGCTATTGAGCCAAAAATAATACTCGACGAGGCTAATTCAGCCGGACATCTTACGGTAGGGAGGTCAGCGAGTAGCAATTGATATCATGGCTGCGACAGGTGGCAAAGGTGTTGCTGTAACGCTCTCGCTGGGAACCTTCTGAAGACGAGCTCGGAATATCTAAGACCCTCCGGTCGATTTATGGAGACTATCAAGATAGATCTTCAACGAAATCTCACTCTTGAAGTAGCCCCCTCCTTTAAAATGGCCAGCTTCATTGATCTTGATGTGATCCAAGTCTTCGACCACAAACCTCAATCCTCCCACCATGCTCTCACGACTTGTCTTAAGATGTATGAGGATAGACGAGTCAAATTCGTATAACACATCACTACGTACCCAATCAGTGAGATGGAGGCTGCGATGCGACTCATGCAGTCGGGTGGCCATATGAGAAAGATCTTTTTGGTACGTGGTGACCAGGATCTAGTCAAGGTGTTTCCTTCACGAGAACCCGATTTTCTCTTCTAATATATATTAAGCTGTCTCTCGCACATGGCATGTGCAGCTAGACGAAAACAGCACCTACCCCGTTGCTAGTAACATTGCTAGTCTTGGAGTTCCATTGTGAACTAGATTGTTGAACGAGGTGCCAAGAACACTATCATTGTCTCTTGCAGTGCTTAAAAGCCACTCTGCAGTGCTGACTTCAATCCAATCTGACGCCAACAAAAGATTTCAGGCATATTGCCCGTAACTGTGACGTTTCTAGCGAAGATTTAGTTATTTAGCTGGCCGACATCTGCTGCGAGTAAGTGATGGTGGATGAATATCATATTTGATAGCCGGCACGTTTGGATGGGCAACATGTGGCGAGCTCTTCTTACCCTTTCTTCTTGCATTGATAACGTATTATTTATTTTTCCTATGCAAAAACTGAAGAATTTTCAACTCTTATCGTATTTGATTTAAATTTGCACCATGTGTGGCTGTGGTAATTGATTGACGCCTCAACTAAACTGACTTGTGAAATAGTCTTACTTGATAACCGACCTAATTCTATGAGCCTCTGCATTGATCCTACAAGATATACCAAGTGGCTGGGCAGGGGAAAGCCAACTTATCACGATTTTGGTCGGGAGTCTCATTGGAATTTCCTAAAAGAGCCATTTTGCGAGGGTTCGGAAGTGCTCCCGATGATATCATCCCCGGCTTTCATTTCCCGCCCAGATCTGAATCTTCCCCTCATCTCTACTTACCTGACTTCATCAAGACGCCCAAACATTCAATATCTTATTCAACCTCACCAGCTCCGATCCGGGTGTTTACATCATAAAACATGGTCAAGAGACGTGCTGAAGTTGCTGCACAGAAGTACTATCTTCCCCCGACCAAATTGATCCCGAACTCGCAATATCCACTCCTATATTATCCCGGCATCTTGTCCCCAGATTCAAAGTCGATCGCTTCTCAGTTTTACGACCTTCTATCCAGCAATGGCTGGGAGGCACAGTGGATCTTCCGCTATGGCCAAACGCAGGATTCCCACTACCATTCCTCATGCCACGAGTGCATGGTTGTGCTCACAGGTAACGCGACCATCCGGTTCGGCGTTGCCGATACGAGCGAAGACATGAACGAGAATACCTATGGCTCGGGCAAAGAGGATGGAGGCATCGAGCTCAAGGTGAAGGCGGGTGACGTGATTCTTATCCCCGCTGGCGTCGCCCACAAAACCTATGACGCCAAGCCCGATGACGAGTTCAAACTGATGTCTCCCGGCAACGGTCACGGCTTCCCTGCAGGTTCTCGAGAGAAGTTGGACGAGATCAATCTGACTGGGTTCACGATGATGGGATCCTACCCGGCGGAAGCAAAGGAATGGGATTTTGCTGTTGGGGGCGAGGGAGCTTCAGCTTATGCCAAAGTATGGTCTGTCCCTCCTCCCAAGCTCGATCCAGTGCTGGGAGATTCGGACGATGGATTGGTTGGTCTTTGGAGACAGACGTCATCTCATGTGCCAGCACAAGGAAGCATCCCATCCAAACTATGATATATGCTCAACCATAGTACATAAATACGAGTATTGATTTCCGTCCATCACCCAAAGAAAATCAAAGCAGAACAGGCATTGAAAGGGTGCGATCCGTTATTACATCGTCGATTTATTTCTCAAATATTCAACCAATAAATCATTATGTCTAGTCAATGTGTGAACTGGCGATGTGTTCTTATTTTACATACGAAGCTCATATCTTTTTTCAAGGCGAGGGATTGCAAGTCTACAAATACCAAGATCTTGTAAGCGCCAAGCTGTGTTTATATTAGCACTCTTGTTACACGTGGTTGATATTGATACTTGGCGGCATGAATTAGCGTGAAAACCAACTGCTTTCACCAGCAGATAACTTTTCAATGGTAGGTTTTGAGAATTTTGCCTCTTTAGGGATCATTCAACGAAGCTCTAGGGTGGGGCCATGTCAGAACTAATGGAACCACGGTCGCGAGCAAAATATTTTCTCGTTGATTAGGCGGTAAATATTCGTATATATATGCACATATGCCCGACCAGAACACCTGTTCCCTTTATATAAATGGGCTGATTTTTGCATGATCTTTGCCCAGTGATTGGAAGCTTGGCGGCAGTGTGCGACTACATCATTAATGCATAGACAGATCTAGCGGAGACTGGTCTATTTTCTCACACTCATCCAAAAGGTGGCACCGAAGCAAGAGAGGGAGAACAAGCATCGCCTCTGACTACATCGACCAGGAGAGACCATGGGGCAGTTCCTATCATCAGCCTGGGCGTTCCTAGCCGCCTTGCGGGGGACGAACAGCAAGCGACTCACCAGCCGAGACGTTCCAGATGCCGAGTTCTCCGGGAGATGGATCATCGTCTCAGGCGCGAACAGTGGCGTGGGATTCGAGGCGGCCAAGCAGTTTGCCAGGATGGGAGCGAACCTCATCCTCGCCTGCCGCGATCCTCCATCGAGGGAGACGCACCCGCTGGCTGCGGTAGAGGAATGCCGGTCGATAGCGACCGCGGCAGGCCACCCCAAATCGACGATAGAATGGTGGAAGGTCGAGATGAGCGAGATGAGCAGCGTTGAGGCATTTGCTCAGCGATGGCTCGACACCGGGCGCCCGCTCGACGTGCTGTGCAACAACGCCGGGATGACCTCGTTGGCCAGGAAGAAGTTCACGGGGGATGGGTTCGAGCGCGTCCACCAGGTCAACTTCCTGTCGCATGTGCTGCTCACGCTGCGTCTTCTGCCTTCCATCGCCCGGAGCGATTACGCACGCATCATCTGCTCCACGTCATGCCTTCACTACCTCGCCCCGTTCGACATGGAGCATTTCAATGGAGAGAGGGGGATCAAGGGGGATCCGTACGCCATCAACAAGCTGTATTTTCAGATGTGGCTTGTCGAGCTTCAGCAAAGACTCCTGCAGCATGCCGAGTACGAGCACATCACCATCAACGGCGTCCACCCTGGGTTTGTTGACAGCGGCATATGGGCTGCACCCGAGGGCGACACAAAGTTTTGGCTTCGACTGCTCATCTTCTCGTGCATCGTCAGCGTGGTTGGTGTGACCAGTGCGCAAGGCGGCATTTGCCTCGTGAACGCTGCTACCAATCCCAAATTCAGCAAAGAAAATGGCGGGGGAAAGTTCATAAATCGCATCTGGGAAGATACTCAGGCTGGTCTTTGCGCCGACAAGGCTGCCAGACTAACGCTATGGAACAGATTGGCTGATGATATGTCACTCCGCGAGAAGGGACTTCTGAAGCTACTGGAGAATTAGCATCCTTGTGGAGGGGGTTCGAAGTTGGTTCTGTGATCAATTGATATGTATCGCGACTGGATCCAATACTTCTTTCAGATAGAGGATATCGAGTGGTGTTAATAATCAATGGATAAATGCCTATTCTCATATTACTGAAAGTGACGATGGATGTGCCATTGGGGCATCTCAAGAGACATGGTGATTAGCCCAGGCACGTTTAAGCGAAGAATCGGTCGCGGTTTGATGTCTTCGGCCATGGCCAAGTCTAGATTAGCTATTCTAGCAAGCGGGAGATGTGCTCAAGAGTGCCCACAAGTTTGCCGTCCAACCCCAGTGATCCCCCTTCAAACCCCTTGCGAACTTATTTCCGCATCCTCATGGTATACGAGCCGCGTTTGGTGAATCTCTAGCGTCTTGGACAAGGCTAGCTTGCCCCTTTGAGACAGGCTTCAAATATGCATGATCGTGAACGCCTAGTTCCATGTGGATGTAGCAAGTCAACCTTGCGAGGTCCAGGTATGAGCCGATACGCCGTGGTCTTCAGTCGGCGCCTGGCGCTGGTTCGCCTCTCACAATGGTGCGGCGAGGACTGTGCGAGCGTTATATGTGGAGGGGGAGTTGGTACCGCTCGGGGCGGAGCCACTACGGATCAGGATGTAGATCAAGGGACAGCGTAGATCAAGGAACAGACCCGTCTGGACTGTTGATTTTGTAGTGTAGTGTGCCTCTACCGACATGACCTGACCCGACTGCCGGCAGAGGCGATTCCAGGGTTGTACTGGTGGTTGACAGTCGGCCCGTTGGTTTAGCTGTTGAATCTCCCTCAGGTTGAAGGTCGCACCACCTCAGCTCAAGAGCATGGGACGGTCTCGGCGCTGGGGTTTATGTTATTATTTTCCCTCTGATATTGAATATTAAGAATTAAACAGTTTAGTAGTACTATGTAGATATGCGTGCCTGGTGTGGGAAAAAGCAAGCTGATGGTTCATGGGCCGGGCCCGCTGTTATCCCCCTGCGGCTTAAATTACCAGAATGCCGCAGAGGGGAACTCGCATGCAGACAGAAGCGTATACGCAATGCGACGCGGCTTGACGAACTGTCACTTGTGCCCAGAGTTGGTAATCCGAAGTCTCATGTGTAGTTACCAGTTAACGTGTACTGCATGGCAGTGGCGGGCGTCATTGATATCTCTCAACTGTAATTCTCCGACTGACTGCTGCTGTTCTTGACCCAGCAAGATAGAACCGTGTGCTGAGCATCATGTTGGTTAGGGTAGGATCACCCGACGCCCATGATCCTGGATGCTTGCTTACCGCTACTCTCTGATTCATCAGACTCGTTACCTGTCACACCAACGGCTACCAACGACTCACATACCACGTAGCGTGAGGAGGAACTGCGACGAGATGGCGCCGTTGGTAGCCTTGGCCAGACCTTCTAGAAGTGGCATAGCGATATTCTCTCCCCCGGATCCTACCGTGCCTCTGCAAGGTTCGACCATGCGAAATGTCATGCTGCCCACACAGAAGCCATGGAATTGATAGGACTTGGCCACTGGCAAAAGATCAATTGGCTGGATGATGGATGCCCCCTCCAATCTAACTCATTCTGGACCCTTCCCCGGGTACTACCTGCGTGAATACCACGCAGTCACGAGGAGAGAGGCACCACTCCCACGCAGCCTGAGTTTTGAAACATGTTAGGGTCCCACCCCTGCGTCAATGCAGATCTGCCCTAAAGGATAGCGAGTTTTCTTCCTCCCGAGGTCGTAGAAATCCTCCTCTCATTTCTGGTAAAATGAACAGATCCAGAAGTTCTACACCGCGTCCCGGTCTGTTCATCCCCTGGTCACTTAGCCGTAGCTTGATCTGATTTGACGACGGCCACCACCAACGGCTGTCACCGTGTTCCTGCGTCTTAGGTTACCTTGTAGGGCGGCTCTGGCGCCGGGACGGTTAGGGCTTTCCCTCTGGTTGTCGTAGACTGCCAGCTTGAAACGCCGCTTGCTCTATTTGCTGACACGTTGTTGACCCACACCCATACGATAAATGCCCTCAGTCACTGTTTGCCTGCTCGGTTTTGCACCAGGGATGTGGCCAATTCCACCACCTTTGTTAAAGGAAGGCGATTGTTGAATCTGGAGGTGGACCGAGAAGTTTTTTATACATACCACGCCGTCCCATGCCCCCGGCTCAGCTTCCTTCATAGCCCTGCAAACCGGCGCTGCTGTTTAATTTGCATCTCTTAGTCGACGTCCAGGGCATTCATCCATCGCGAAATGCCTGCGAGGTTATCGATGGCTAGGTACTGGGCTGACGATATTACTATACATACTGCAACCCCACCGACCGTGATCCAGAGGAACATCACCGCGTGTCTGTTTGACTCTTCCCCTCGTTTTCCCTTCACTTCCGCCCGTCGGCTGGTCTGCCACCTAGGGAAAGATTTCCCCAGCGAGACATTCTGGAAATATCTTGCCGTCCATTCATTTGAAGATCCATATCAATATTCTCCGGCATCCCGACCGACAGGTATTCAACAAACCACCCTCGGCTACACTCATTCGCCCAGAGGAACTGTTTCATAAACGACCTGGTCCAATCTCGCCCATCTGGGTCTTGGTCGCCCACCCAACATGAGCGAGACCGCCGTCGTCGAGAACGCGGTCACCATCGTCAACGCAACAATGTGGCCCCTCGCGGGCATCGCCACACTCTTTTTCGCCCTCCGACTGTACTGCCGCATCGCTAGATCCCGGGAGACGGGATGGGACGACTACGCCCTGGCGGCCGGCTGGGTCCTCCTCCTCGCTGCGGGAGGAACCCTCGCCACGACAACCATTGAATGGAACTACTTTGGCACCTCGCTCGACTCGCAGTCCAGCGCCACGGTGCCGCTGCTGGTCAGCCTCACGCATACGTTACACGTCCTCTCCCTGGCCCTGGCCAAGACGGCGTTCGCCGCCACGCTGCTGCACTACTCCTCCCGGGCGGAGAAGGTCGTCGTCTGGACCATCATCGGGTCCATCAACGCTCTTTTTGTTTTTCATGTGTTTGCGCAGTGGAAGAGTGTCTGCGGCGACGAGTCGCAGGCCTACAGGCTACCGGGGGACTGCTGGGTGGTCCGCAATCCCGGCATCGTCAACATTGTCAGCTCTAGTACGTTGTTGCTGCCCGGCCATGAGGAAGATATCCGTGTTTCTAACCATCTTTCTAGTGTATTCTGCCGCCACTGATTTCCTTCTTGCGTTCCTCCCGTGGCGCGTGTTTCGGCGCCTGCAGATGAACAAGACCGAAAGGATCGTCGTTGGCGTTTCAATGACTTTTGCTCTTATGTAAGTCTGCACAAGCGCTTCCTCCAGGATCATCCGTCTCAGATGGTTTGCCCGCTACGTCACCAATTAACCAAAAGGCCATATGGATATGACTAACCTTTCATCTTCTTAGTGCTGGGGTGACAGGCATATTGAAAGGCATCCAAAGTATCAAGACGCTCGACAGATCAGACCCACAACGTAAGAACCCGACTCTCGCCGCAGCACCGCCCCCCAGCCGCGTCAACGTGCTGTCCATGCACAAAACCATGGGTTGACTGATGTACTGACACGTGGTGGCTTCTCTAGTAATGTGGAATCTGCTGTTATTTTGGATCTTTGCCCTGGCCGAGCCCAGCGCCACAATCATCGCCGCCTCCATCCCGTCCTTCCGCGTGCTCGACAACGCCACGGGAAGCTCCGACTTCAGGATCTCCCGCAGCCCCGCGGCTTTCCTCGCCGACATGGAGCAGGGCCAGAAACGCTCCAAGCCGAGGGCCGAGGAGCCCGTCGAGCACCTACTGGAGGACTCGGACAGCGACAACAGGAGCATACTGACCACCCACGACGGGAGGCGGACGCGTGCTGTTACCACCGCCGGCGGGGGCATCACGCTGAAGACGGAGGTGTCGATTGAGTTCAACCGCAACAGCGGGCGGACGTTCAAGAAGAAGGGGGAGGCGTACGAGATGCAGCCTGGGGTCCAGCGCTCGAATTCGATAAAGGTGAAGGGGAAGGAGCAGGTTCTTCCGTATACCCCTGGGAAAGGGACTTTTAACGAATGAATGAAGATTTGATTTGCTGGCTGCTTGAATCCTTCCACTTCTGCAATTCTGTGTTGTGATGAATTCAGTGTTGTGATGAATTCAGTGTTGTGATGTTTTGTGTGGTTTGCATCTAACGGGAACGAAAGAACAAAAGACTGGACCTACCCCATCATTGCGGAAGGTCGTTTGAAAGAGAAAAGAAACACTGGATAACACAAACAGCTGGAAGCGAATCTTTCTTGAGCTACAAATAAGTCAACCTGAGCGCTTAACATTCGCGCCCCAACCTTCACAGCTACAGATCAGCTTCGAGCATTGACGGGAATCACTCTCAGTTTTATGCTTAGTGAAAGGCAGATAAATAGGTTTTGACTCGTAATATCATAATTCTTGTTGGACGGCCATTAATCTTCTGGTTTACCGACGAGAGTTTGAGTGAAGATTTAAGAAACAGCAATGGAAGATGCCAGACCCTGCATATAAAAAAATGAACAAAGTCAGTCAGGGTTGACATATGCTGTTAATCCGTAAACATCCCCACACCCCCCATTACCCCCAATGTTTACTTTGGTATTTAGGGTTGTATCATCAATTGGCATCGTAGAATTTATCTGTCACTTGGTGGCTCATTTCTAAAGGTGTTTCCGCGGTTCGTCTGTCCGTCAAACCCCCCTCATTATCAATTGCTTCTCTCTCCGGATTCTTACTGTTTTTGACGTTCTCTATTTTTAAATGTTCACTATGGGTATCAATACGTGGTCCCCTCATGACTCGATCTCAAAGAGTATCAAACCATTGAGCTTTTTTGTGCCCTGTTCAACAAACTCATTTTCAGAGAGTACGAATTCATCTGCTTTTCAGAAGCTTCAGACCATCTTCAATCTAATGAGGCTCGTGATTTTGTAATTCAAAACTACGTGTGGACGAGAATGCTTATCGCATCCTCTACTTTTTTAGAAGTTAGGAGAGCTAGGAACTAGACCGGATCACATATCGTTGCACTCGAAACTCAGGCCTTGATCAACTGCGCACAGTTCTTGCAAGCGAACCCTGACTTTCCGTTTATCTATGCTTGCACACACGTCGGCACTTACTTACGATGCTGGAAAATCCACACAACGGAAGACGGTGATACTCAAATGCAAGGCTTCTGGGGCGGGCAGGACAAAGGGACATTCGATCATTACTTGGACGTGGGCCTTGAGCAGAATAAAGGACAACTGGAACGCGGGTTTCAACACATGAAGATAACACCCCCAACAAAGACAAAGAGGCCACTGTATGTCGATCCAAACAATGTAGCAAGTGACTGAGAAAAGCACCTGGTACACCACATGAAAACCCTTTCACGTAAGGTAGAGACCTGATTATCTTATCAATCGTACCAGACACAACGAAAAGAAAATAATAAATCATTCTATGATATATAGCTTGATATTATGTCTATTACGACGTGGTTGGTCTGATATTGTGTTAAAATCGAACACTGGAAGTTCGGGGTGTGCCATGTTTTGTGCCATTGGTTTGCCTGTCTACAAGTTAGATGCTTCAACCAATAATCGGGATAAAGGGTAGCAGGAGTCTATGTCCCATGTAACTAGAGGGCTTTTATTGATGCCAGATCACAATGAAAGACCATGTATTGTCAACCGCCAATCGTGAATGGAACTAAAGTATTCGGCATGCCGCGCCAGATAACACCAGTCCAGTGAGCTAATAGATCGTATTTATGAGTGAAAAACCAGGTTATTTCCTTTCCATATTAGAATGCGTCATAAAATATGCCAAGAGAAGGGTACAGCTTACCATACGAAGGTCGCTCCATGTGAAATAAGGTTTGGTTCCATCGGAATCTTGGAGGATGATGTCCTCAACATATCTGTGTTCATCATCTCCATCCGAAAAGAGAAACGTAATTACATCCAGCGAACCGCTCCGCCTTTCGTAGAGAGTTGATATGCTTTCCTCACGGCTGGGGTCCCATTGACCGAGAATTATTCTGCTGCCATCTTTCATCTCGGCCAAAATGCCCATGCATCGACGCCCGAGTTTTTGAACATGCAACGCGTTTGCGTCATAGAATGCACCTTTGGTTAGAAAAGGATCCCGTGGGTGACTGCCCAAGAGAAACTTTTTCGGCTCGCATGTTCCGAGGGCAGTAATGGCGGGAGCAAGAGCATCATCTAAAGAGTCTGGTGGGATTGGCTGCCACATTATACCTAAGTTTTGAAGCCTTTTTCTATCTGACTTCATGACATCACAAAAGATACCAGAGACGGACCGGGTTGCCTCTAAACCACAAGTTGATATATAACCCCTTGTTAACTGCTGGAAAGGCATGATGAAGATCCCAGTATATAGGGATCGGGCTCTGCTTGTAGTCATCTAGCTCACGTCAACGTCAACGTGACAGTACTTGGAGATAGGATCTGGAGGCTTCAAGTTACCAGGAGGAAAGGCCCCTCGGCGAAGAAGGGATCCTCTGAACGACGAATTATTACATGGATCGATCTAATCGTCTCATGGGGCTCGAGTTCGAAAGTAATCGGGCAAGAATCACTTGATGGTCTCCCCAACCTTGTCTTGGGATTTCCATCAACTTGAATACATGTCATGGAGAGCGAGGTGGAGTAGACGGTCAGGCTGTGTCGATTGCCGTCATCGAAGTCGAAAGGAAGATATTGTATACAGCGTGAGTTCGGATTACCTCGGACAGGTAGTGTACTGTATCCAGAAATACTAATATCGATGAATGACCATTTCAAGCCCGGCAAAATGGGCATTTGCTCGTCCCAAAGCAGATTTTCAGTCTTGGATGTGTGTTCTACGTTTTTACAAGCTAAGGATAGAATCTTGAAGCCCTGCAAGCGGAATTAGTAGGAAGCGAAGAAAAAGTGAGAAGGAAATCGGTTTACTCGCATCTGATTAGGTTTTGATTTGTTGCAAGTTACTGCATTCCACTAAGCCCATCCATTTCGATGAATGCTGGCCTAGCCAAGATGAACACGTCTTGTCGTGGTATTGGAGCCTTAAGCCAGTTATTCCAAACGTCCCTAAGATGACATATATTCCGCGTATCAATTTTCTTTCGGGCAGCATAATGGATTTGTCGTATGTGACTGTTGTATCGGCGCCAATCTCCGTTAAGCAGTATTCTCCCATGATACAGCAAAACTTTGCACCTAGCTTCTCAATTTTCTGTTCTGCGGACAATGGAGCCCCAAGCAAAAGTCGTGAGCTGTATGTTTTCAGAGATTGGATATTGCATTCAGATAGCCAACCAACAGTGTGTAAGCAGCTCGCCAGGGCTGAAAAATAACCAGGGGATGTATAATCGTAGACCAGTCTGATTATTTCAGTCGGGAATCGGGACCGGATTTTTTGAATGAATAACCCTAGATCTGTCGATGAAATGCCTCGGCTGGGGAGTGATGCGAATGATTTAGGAGGGATAGAAAGCATTGTGAAAGTTTGCCAAGCCGCAACGGGCTGCAAGTATTTACTGATCTGGCAGAGTAGCTTGATGGTTACGTGATGAAATGTGTCGTTCATGAGCTGGAGACATGGTAGATGCACTAGATTAGCAGTGGATTGCAGAGAGCAACATCCGTGTACGGCCCCGGTGCAGAGGTTTTTCTTTGCTTCAATCAGTTCTTGCCGAATCTTGTCGAGGGTTAAGAAATAAGGCTCGGAAGCGAGAGGGACGCTGATTCGGTATAAGAGTCCGCGATGACGAGATGGATCAGCAGAGGCTGGTATGTGGGTAACTAAGAGATTGTGAACACAAGTCTCGACTATAATCGAGAGTTATTTGCAGCTTACAGCACAAAACCTCATCCTCCCATGGCTCAACATCTCGAGCTTCTTCCCCCTCAAAGGGTATTGAATTCCGGCACAGGATGCAATATGGTTCGAGAAGGATATGTGTTTGGTGTGAAGTCGGTGCTACATTCATGTTTAATTGTTATTGATTTGACTTAGATATACAACGATCAGTGTTACGATATAGCCTGGTGGCTAATTAAGAAGCAGAAAAGCCACGGCGCACAAAAGTTCATCCCTTAGCTAAGGGAGGGCACGTGATCAAATATCACGTGCTACCCCGATGCAAGACAGATGGATGTATCTGAAGCATCACATAGTGTTTCCATTTACATTTATTACTAGTAATTAATCTGTGCCTTGAATATATTCCGTTTTGGCATCTAATTGATGTAGATGTATATTTACCCTTGCGAGGTGCATGCATGTAGCGGTCGCTTTCTCGGGGTCATCACTTTGTTCAGCACATTTACACCAACAATGATCGCGTGTTAACATCAATGGAACAGGTTAAATAAACTTCCACTGCCAAAGGCCGCAAGTTTAAGGTTATTTGACGTTTTGTGCGTATCGCGCTTCCGACAAAAGAGAGCAGAGTATATGAGTGACACAACCATTCGGGTTTTGTACATTCACACCTCAGTGCCTCTCACCTGTAGCTCACCTTGAGATCACTCCGATTGTGTAACCTCCCACCCCAAACACGAAACAAATGAAAAATTTTCACTTTGTGCGTAGAACAATAACTTTTATTTCATATTTCGCACTGTTCATTGCCTGGCAGAATAAAGGCGGTCGCCAAAATCACTTCCTTTCTTTCTTCTTCCCGCTTTCTCCATCCGCGACCTTCGCTCCTTCCTTCGATAAAACCATCTTCCTGCAATCACCGATTGTCTTTTTTTGCTCTTGCCTTCCTTCATCTTCCGCAACACCTTTTCTCCTTTCGACTCTGGCCTTTTCCTCAGATCACACAACCGCTTCTCCTCGTCAATCATTCGAAGTTGAGAGTGTGCTCGCTGGGCTATCGCACTGCTCTGTTCATCTCAATAAACGACCGATTCATCAAGCTTTGCGTCAGCCGTGAGTGGTTCATCCCCTTCTGCCCTCGCCAACCTCGCCCATCAACCCCATCGTATCGAAGACACTTAGTTCCATCATGTCTTCATCGAAAGGAAGAGGTTCTGGTGGGAACCAGA